CTGGGGAATTCTGGGAGTTGAAGTCCACCCGTCTTAAAGTTGCCAAGGTTGAGGAATCCTGAATTAGACAACACCAGATAAGGCAAACACAGGAAACCCCAACTCAGTAGAGTGCCTGAGCTTAGAAAGCTCCCTTTTAAAAATCTAGTCAGTTTCACCAGAGAGCGCTCTCTCTTGGAATCCCGGCTAATTACTTTTTCTAAGAATTCCTAGAGGGCGGGCATTCCTTGCACCTTGGAACAATAGTATCTACCCTATAAAAGGAACTCCTGATGAAATCCTGAGCCCCCACAGCTGATTGTCTTGTGTGTCTGGCTCTTGGAAATAAAATCTTCTCTCTCCTTCAGGTAACTGCCTGGGTATTTCTGGCTCAGAGAGGAACCTCCTGAGCTTGCTTTCTAACAGAAGTGATCTTTATATCTGTTAGTTTGTGTCTATCCAGGGGCCGTTGGGCTGATCAGCGCAATGCAAAGTCCCTGCTCTTCATCTGATTATTTTCCTTAAACCAGATTTGAACTGAGCAGCCCTATACAAGATGGAGAATTGTCCGCTCAGGTACATCAAATAGCACAGGTCTTTTGGTGAAGTAGGACATCTGAGTATTCTAATGAGTCCTCTACTCTTTGAGGATGAAGAAGTCACTTCTGTAGTTCATAGCTTCATGATAACATAAAAATGAAGACAACATGGTTTCTTGTAGGGCCAAACTGCTAAAAGCTTTATAGGTCAAAATCACTACACTGAACTGTACCCAGCACCCTAGAGAAAACAAAATCCCAGCGTATTGCCATAATGAACTTTTGTGATCTACAACAGCAAGAGAGTGGACCAGTGTTTCTCTCAGAACAATAACAAGGGTAGTTCCAAGTGTCTAGTTTCAGAACAGATATTTCAATAAAAAGGAGGACCCCTAGTTATAATCAATATTGGATTTGTTCTACTTCTAAATTCCAAAATATATCAGACATTCTTGGGGCTTCATCTTATAAAGCTGTTTATGGGAAACTGGTTCAACAATAACAAGTTTTCAGAATGAGTGGGCTGTTTTCCAAAGGACTGCCATTTACTTCTAAAGGGCTTCTATTGCTTCCTCTGAAAATATTTGAATAGCTCAGGGCTTGGCACTCAGACAGATCTATTTGATTCTACTTTTTCCAGTGTTTGAGAACAGTACAACTGAAGCCACCATGCCTATCATGGAATACTTTACATTTTTCTTAAAGAGGACTGTGGTCTTTCATAGCCCCAGAAATGACATTCAGTGTTAGGAGGCATGAATAGGAATATTACATGGGTAAACATCTAGTATTCCAAATTTGCACTCAGACCAGCCTCACCTCTGGACATGCCTAAGAAAATGTTGGTATTTAAACTCAACCAACAGGTTCCATTTCTCCATACCAAACCAAACTAATTCATTTTTTTTTTAAAGACTCATCTTCATTCTTACATAATAGGAACATAAAGTTAATGATAGGAATATGTGCAAGTAAACTCTGGCTTTTTTGAAGGATAAAGGAGAGCTTGCAAGTCTTCAGGTGCTAAAAGCTGGAGAGGCTATAATTTTTATGACTAACATTAGTCCCTAAAATGAGTAAGAATCACCACATCATATATAATCATGCACTATCATCTGTGTGTAGGACACCCATTCTTTTATCACCCTTTAATTAGCCTGATTAAGAGAACAAAAAATGGATGGTTATCCAAGCTGTCTGAATGGTGCTCATTGGTACTAACTTGGATAAAGTGATATTAAATATACACTGCATGATTTTTAAACACAGTTTGTTGAGTAAAGCTAAGTTTAGACATCACAGTAATGTTTATACATATACATATTCAACCCACAATGGTTGGGTGCACACAACACAAACCATATTATGTCACAGTACACTGTGTGAACCCAAGCTATGTCTTTATCAATATTGCTGGATTGCTGTTTATGTAACATAAGATATTCAAAATTGTAGAATTTAAATACAGTCACTAATAATTACAGTGATAAGGATATAAAGAGCAACTCTGCTAAATTGGTAACAAAGCTCGTCTAATCTACCTCCTATACCAGACAACCAGCTCCTGTGGAAAGTAGTTCAACAACCATAACTGGTGGAACTGGGTTTGCAAAATATTCCATCCTGAAAGGTGATTGGCTATTTTATCATGAGAACCCAATCAGCTTAATTAATCCAATATACTATGACATAATTACCAAGGATTAATGTGTTGTGAAGCACATCCTTTGATTTTTGGAAATACATAGGCACCATTGATAAACCTTAAGCTCAGTAAATGTGAAGTTCTTATCAACATTAATATCAATCACAGACTTTCATTAGGTTTTTTTTTGTAATTTTCAATTACAGTTGTAAACAGCTATTCATGAGTTAATTTAACTGATACAGTTTATAGACATTTTGTTTCTCCTTCAATACACCAATGTACCATATGCAAAAAAAGACAAAATACACTTAAATGGAAAGTTTATTCCACTTCTTATCATATGAAGATACAAATATAAGATAAGCTACTCTTCAAATCAGGCTTGAAATTAATCTAGTAAAGGTTAGTTTACAGCCAAACATATGTATTTGTTCAACAGTAATATGACTGATTAAAGTAAGAACCCCCAATGGATTAGACTAAAATTTAATTGAGCCAACCATTATTTTTAGATTTTTTATCCTGTCATTATTATTTTTATAAATAACTCAAGGTGGCAAACATACCAATTCTCCTACCTCCTCCTATTTTCCCCACAACAACCACCCTGTGAAGTGAACTGGGCTGAGAGAGTGACTGGCCCAAGGTCACCCAGCTGGCTTTCACAGTTCCTAGCCTGGTGCCTTAACCACTAGACCAAACTGGCTGTTTTCTTCCCTACCAGGGCCCCTAGATGCCTTCAGAAAACTTAATAAAAGGTCGTAAATTCAAAAGCAAGCAAACCATGCTCAACAGTGTATGGCCACCGGTAACTAGTACTCCATTTCACTGGGGTTACATTATTTTCAAGAGGGTCAATTTCTTAAACAGCTGAACAGGCCCTTGATTTGGGTCCAGCTCCATCCATATCGTTCGCCTTGCAGCATTTTAGAAGCGTTTTGCCAGTCTTTTTACTGCCCATAAAAGAGTGCACGCTGCCCTTAATCCAAATTAGTTTTAGGTTCTTTTAAGGCTGTTTTGGGTGTTGGCTGACTTCTGGCCTGAGTGAGAAATCACTGTTTCTGTGTCTCCATTTTGCAGTGCTAGCAGGTATTGCATTCAGTGGAATTTAGTCTTTGCAACCTTCACACCAATGAGAAAACTTTATTTTTATTTATCTACATCACATCTTTCATTCTGACAGTCTTTGTTTTCAATAGAAGAGAATATGTGTAGCTCAGGGTTGAACTGTGGAGTCCTTGGGGTTCTCTGAGCTTGGTTGTTTTCTTGCAAACGTTTCGTTACCTGGCTAGGTAACATCTTCAGTGCTTTTCTTCTCGGGCTACTTCTTGGGCTAAAAAGCAGGAGTCATCTACAACATACAGTGTGAGGACTATGTAGGACAGACAGGCAGAAGGCTAGCAGAGCACATCCAC